GCGGCCATAAGTCAGTGCTGTCATATCTTTGAATGGTCATTAAGAAAATGGTCGTAAGTCAAGAACTACCTGTAGTCATCCCGAGCCAGTAGCTAGAGAGAAGAGAAGCCCTAAGAGTTTTATGGCTTCACACATTCTGGAGCACCAGGGAAAAGGGGCAATTTTCTATTTGTAAACTTTTCCAGTCACTATTTAAAGTGGGTGACCTTCCAATACAGGAGAGTTTAAATCCAGAACTTTCGGGAATAGGGCTTGGCAATTTGCTATTTGACAACCTGATGGGCCATCCTCCTCGTGTCAGTGGCTCATTGGGTCCCTTCACCACAGGAGACACAAACCGTCCACCTGTAGATCCCAGGATGGTGGTGGGGATCCATTGTCCATTCAGCCGATTGTTCTGCCACGCCACCTTGATCCCAGCCAGGATAACTTTAAAATCATGACAGGCAGTGAGGCAGCTGAGTGTAGAGACAACGTATGATGATTGTGTGTGTGTTTGCTCACTCACTTATTCTTACAAATCAGCTTTCTTTTTCCAGCTGGAGGGTCCCTCCTGGGTAAAAGAGTTGATTCCGTCATGTTGTCTTTGCAAAAGGGAGAGGAAGGACTGTGCCAGCTGGGATTTGAACCCAGGACACAAGATTGGAAGTCTTGCATGATGCCACTTCACCACTGGCACAGGTGGTGCAGAGTTGGCTCAAGAGGGCTTTCCTTGTGGTGGACGGAGGACCAGGGAAAGAACCGCTTGATAGGCAGCCCTGAGCTTGCAGACAGCCGTGGCTTGCCCCCAACCCGCCCTCCCCCCCCCGCAAATATGCATGTTCCTTCCCAGCCAGGGAAGTCGGCATCTTGCCAGCATCCCAGGAGACGACCTATGCAGGAGTCCCCTTCCCCCGCCCCTTGGGCAGTGATGCCCCTGAGCAATCCCCCTGCCCTACCAGGGGTCTGGTCAAGGAGGAGGAGCACAGCATGGGCCACAGCTCTGCCTGAGTTCCTGGAGTGCAACAGCACGGTTCCTCTTTGCCTGCACCCAGAAATCAGACAGGGGCAGAAACATGTTCGATCTTAGCAAGGCCAACCAAGCATTAACCGAGCAAAAGGGAAGAAAAAGAGATGCTGTATAATGGTGGGTTTCCTTTATTCCTTCTTGCTTTGTCGTTGCTGGAGCTCAGCTGCAAACACCAAGAACACCTCCTGCAAGACTAGCTAGCTGGGAAAGGAGGCTTTGAGAAGGCAAACCCCTCCATTCACACCGGACCATCATGTTGAGCCAGCACCTAACCCAGCCTGGAAAAGCAGGTCCCAGAATTCCCCTATTCTGAGAGCTTCCAAGATAGCATGTTTTGGCGATGCAGTGGGGCTCTGCTCGTCCCACCCTTGTCAGCCCTCCTCCTCCTCGGGTGGAACCTCTGGGCATCAGCTTTGGGCTGATGGCCCTTTCTGCTTGGGAGTATGGAGAAAGAGGGTGTCTGAGTCCCATCCTCTGGGCCTCCACTGCAGGTGCTGGCAAGAGAGAGCTGCCAAGTGCAGCAAGTCAGTTGGAAGATGAGGTGCCTGGCACCCCTGGCATAGACTGGCCCTCCTTCTCCCTGAAACCCTGGGTGGGTGGGGCAGATCTCTGCCTGCATCCCACCAGCGCTTGGGGTTTTCCAACCAGAGAGAAAGTGGGAGCCTCAAAGGAGGGGCCCTGTGGGAGGGGACAGTCCTGCTCTCCTGCCAACCTTCCCACCTGCAGGACCTGCGGTGGAGTTGATGCACCTTCAGAGGAGAAGCTGGAGGGATGGAAGCCACCTTGGCCTTCCCTGTTGGTCTAGTGGTCAGGATTCGGTGCTCTCACTGCCGCGGCCCGGGTTCGATTCCCGGCCAGGGAAAGATATTGCTTCTAAACCACCTTCCAGCAGCTGGAATACGCAAGGAGGGTCCTTTTCCTGGCAAAATAGGTTCAACTGGCCAGGAGAATTGCCTTCCCTTCCCGTCCCTTCCCCCCACCCCACCCCACGCCACTTTTGGCCCTCTTAGCAGCCTCCACAGAGTCTCCGTCCAACCAGGCTGCCTTTGACCTTCCAGCAGGGCGGATGATGACAGCAGGGACTGCAAGAGACTGGGAGGGAGCAAAGCTGCCTACGGTCCCCTTGGGGGAGACAGGTGGGGGTCGGTTGTTCAAGGAGGCTGAGGGGAAGCCGTATCCCGGGACCTGGAGCAGAAGGGACCAAGTAGTCTGACCCTTGAGCAGATGGATGGTGATCCAAGGGCATCCAGGAAGAGCAGCCAGTGCCCTTCCTTTGCCAAAGTGGCTGAGTGGGTGAAGGGGATGGTCTGCTAATGCCTCAAGCTCTGCATGCATGGGTTTGAATCCCACCCCCATTGGCACTTCTCCCACCTGATAGAGATTCTGGGATTTAAAAGTGGTGGCCACCCTCCCTCTCTTTAACCCTTGGTAAGGAAAAAGCAGAGGAAGGCCCCAGGTGTAAGAGTGGGCAAATCTGGAAGTTCCTGCTGAGAATGCAAGGACAGGTCAATGCCAGCCCAGCCTGAACCCAGGTTGCAGATTAGGAAAGCAGAGTGACACTCGACAACGTTGGTACCGCTGAAGGAACCTCCTTCCTCTCAGGGCGAAGGTCTCTGCAGAAGATGCGGGCAGATCCAGGTTCTCACAGAAACCCTTTACAGGAGCTGAGGAGTTGGCAATCTCACCAAGAGGGACAAGAAGGGGCAAAGCCTTTGGCTGAGTGTGGCCACATGATTAGCAGAAGGCAAACTTGATTTGAGCGAGTGGCTCTTCTTCTCCCACTGGGAAGAGAGTCTGGGATGAAAATTTCTCCTGGTTTTGCTGCCTGCAGATCCCTGAAGGGCAAAAGGTGGAGGAGGCATGCGCCAGCCAGGACCCGAACCTGGGTCGCAAGATTGGGAACCCTGCATGATGCCCCTACACCACTGGCACAGCTGTTGAGATTCTGCCTCAAGAGAAGCAATATTGAGGTTTAGTAGTTCTCGTTGCAACAGTCCAAGGTTTCTCTTTCCACATGTGATGATGGGAGAGAGGAACAAACGGCATCTTATGACCACGTTGTCTTATTGCTGTCCAGCCAGCCCCAGCGATGGATCCTCAGGGCAAGGAGGACTGATGCCAGATGCTGTGCCAGGTCTCTGTGGCGCAAGGAGTTAGCGCGTCTGCCTGTTAACCAGAAGGATGGTGGTTCAAACCCACCCAGGGACGGCCCGCTTGACGAGGAGATGGTTATTAATGGATCGAGTTCTTCATCTGGGGGTTGGAATTCCCACCCTGTTAAAGCTTTTTTCCATGGGGCATAAATATTTGGCCATCTCCTGCATCAGCTCTACCTTCCAGAATGCAAAAGGGGGGTGAAGGCTCCCTGTCATTCTCTGGGCTTCTGCTGGCCCCCAGAAGAGCCGGAGCACCTTTTAGGCTCTTCTTACCTTTTAAGGAAGTTGAACATAGGGAAACCACCCTGCACTGGAAGCTCTCCATGGTCCTGAAACAGCCACGTTCTTCCAGAGCCAGACCTTCCTTGTTCTCTCATTATGCAATCCATTGCTGGCTTCCTTGAGGCTCCATGCTACGACACAAGGCTACCCCCTTTCCAAGCAACAGGAAGATGCTCCCTACGACCCAAGAGTGGCTTGGGGCTTCAATTTCCTTCCTTGCTCTCCTGTCCCTGGGCAACCTGGTTTCACATCACCCTCCCCAGCTGGTCTGCTGGGAAGTAAGTGTGTTTTTCTCTGGTCTCATCCAGAATGGTAGCTGTTTTCTGGGTTTCCCATCGGCCCCCTCAAAATCACAAATGTGACCAAGAAGTTCACAATGTTTGGGGCTCTGATGTTGGCATCCACTGTTAGGTGTCTCTGCCGGAAATGGAGCCCCTGGCCAAGATGTGAGACAATGCTGGACTTTTGTCCGACTGCTGGAGGTTTTGGGGATTGAAATGTGGCTGTCAGCAATATGTTTAAGTCTTGGGAGGTGAAGGAAAGAGGCAGGCATCTGGTTTCAGAGACGCTGTCTAGGAATTTGTTTCTGCTTTCCATTGTTGCACTCTTTTACATGTTTCATGTAGGTGAATGTAATTTAATCTTATTCTTCTTTCTATCTGAAGGTTTCTTTGCCCAACAAAAATTGTATGTGGGAACCCTGGCAAAAGAAAAACTCTCCTGAAACACGGGATTGAACCAGCAGCCTGAAAATGCCTGAAATTGTGCTCCCTCGTCCTTCTCTCTGACAGCTGAGCTCTGGAAGGGCACAAAACACTGAGGAACAACAGCTCATCAGCCCATCTGATACTGCAGGCATCAGGCTGTGATGGCCAGCAAAAGATACGGGCATGCCGGTTGAGAGCTTCCCGTGCCTGTGGTTTCTGTGGTGTAGTGGTTATCACATTTGCCTCACACGCAAAAGGTCCCTGGTTCGAAACCAGGCAGAAACAGAAGTTTTTCTCACCATCGGAGCCATTCCAAGCTCTAGAGAAGCACAGGAAATGGCTGCACACTAGGGAAAAGCAAGAGACACCCCACTTTTTTTTCTTCTTTATCCAAGAGAGAATGAGCAAGCAGAGAATGCTTTTCAGCCATTGACCAAAGAAGATTTCAGGTAGTCCTTGACCTACGACCACAATTGGGACCAGAACTTTCATCATTAAGCAATGTGGTCATTAAGTAATTCATGCCACATTTTACGACCTTTTTTGCCACTGTCATTCAGCAAATGCCATTTCCCCCATTTGCTTTGCTTCTTGGAAGCCCCCAGGGAAGATTGCAAATGGCAATCACATGACCCAAGGATGCTGCAACCATTGTAAATGAATGTCAGTTGCCAGGTGCCCAAATTTTGATCACATGATCACAGGGACGCTGCAACAGTTGTAAATGTGAGGACCAGTCATAAGTCACTTTTTTCAGTGCTTTCCTAATTTTGAACTATCATTAACCAAATGGTTGTAAGTTGAGGACTGCCTGCAGTCATCCTGAGCCAGCAGCTAGAGAGAATGAGGCCTAAGAATTCTATGGCTTCACATATTCTAGAGCAGCAGGGAGAAGGGGAAATTTTTCATTTGTAGTGTGTCCTGGTCACCATTTAAACTAGATGCCTTCCAGCCCCAATGGGGTTAAATCTACAACCTTCTCGAAAAGCAGAAACCAGAACTCCCCTATTCTGAGAGCTTCAAAGCTAACACATTTTGGTCGGTATAGTGGGGCTCTGCTTGTCCCACCCTGGTCAGCCCTCTTCCTCCTTGGTGGAGGCTCCGAGCACCAGCTTTGGACCGATGGCCCTTTATCTTTGGGAAGATGGAGAAAGAGGGTGTTTGTGTCTCATCCTCAGGTGATGCCAAGAGAGAGATGCCAAGTGCAGCAAGTCAGTTGGAAGATGAGGTGTCTGGTGACCTTGACAATGATTGGCGCTCACAGAAATGTTTGAGGCCCCCCCCCCAGGCCCTCCTTCTCCCTGAAACCTTGAGTGGGTGGGGCAGATCTCTCTGCATCCCACCAGCACTTGGGGTTTTCCAACCAGAGAGAAAGTGGGAGCCTCAAAGGAAGGGCCTTGTGGGAGGGGACAGTCCTGCCCTCCTGCCAACCTTCTCACCTGCAGGACCTGCAGTGGAGTTGATGCACCTTCAGAGGAGAAGCTGGAGGGATGGAAGCCACCTCGGCCTTCCCTGGTGGTCTAGT